GTGGAAATTTTGAGTATTACTAAAAGTTGTATCAAGGAAAAATAAACTGGTTTAATCACGAAAGGACTTGTATCACTGAAGTTCCCCGGAAATTATCAAACAAGCAGATATGCAACAATATCTATTGGCACATTCGGGAGAGATGAAAATAATGAAATTATTTTAATTTTGATTGCTATTTTGAAGTTATCAGAGCAAGATCCCTAGTACTGACTTGTATGCGTCTAAGGCCAAGATTAATGTGGATGTACATATATTTAATCCGAGGTGGATCAAAAAGAAGACGTAAAACTAAAACTAGTCTTTCTGTGCCTTTGATTCCAGTTCTATTGCTTAATGAGGGTTTCTATAATAAGCTGATCCATGAGTTCAACATTTCTATCTTAAATTTATCAAACCGTTAAACCAATTTGAACTTAAGTTTTATTTCAACTTACTTCAGTATAAGATGAATTGAAAACAGTTATTTCACTTTTCATCATTTGTAATTGGGTTAGCCCTTCCCATAGTCATTGTTTGAGTAATACTTGTTATACAGTAAGCTAGTGAATTCCGCTACAAATTGTTATAATAATCAAAAGGGTTAAAGTATTAGACATACAAGCAGACATTTTTTTTCTTTTCTTGAATTTAAGAGCAAATTAGGCTTTGGAAAATTATTCTAAATAATAATTAAGGATGAGAAAGTCCCAAAATATTATTTGTTTTGGTAAGTAAAAACTGCTGAGTTTGCGATCTTAAAAGTTATATACGGATACATTCAAATACTTTTATTAGCAAGATTGCTACTTCATTATGAAGTTTGTATAGTTAATAAGTTTTCCCCCAAAATGACATGGATTTTTTTATTCGTCCATAGAGAGAAAAACATAGATATTGCAAGTAATCCCGCTAATTACAGTTAGCAGGTTTTTATATAATTTATAAAAACGGGGAATTTAGTTTAAAATAGTAGGTTTGATATTACATGTAGCTGGAGAACATGAAAGTTCTGCCATGGATTACATTTCAAAATGATTTGGTTTGAATTTCTCGCAAAGCTACACAAAAGCTATCTGCGTTCGCCCTCCCTAATGTAGCAGTGAAAGAAAGCAGAGGGAAGGCAGCTAGTCATCACTATCCTCCTCCAACTCTTCGGTTACTCTTTTACCAACGAATAGTGGGATTGACCATCACAATATAATGCCTCCACAGCTGAAAGGATGACCATGTTTGGTACAACGGGGATTTGAACTTGTGACCATCAAGTTGAGAGTGGAGCACCCTAACCATATGGCCATTCCAGGCCCAATTTCAAAATGACAAAAGAGTTATGTAATACTGAAACACATTAAAGTAATTAATGATCAAGAATCTTCTTTTAAAGTTACTAGCTTTACAGTGTAGTGTTCATACGTGGTGTTTTCCAAATACCTTTAATTAGCATTCTCAGCATCTTAAAGAACAGCTTTCAAACTAAAATTTAAAAAAAAATTACGATGTCTGTTTAGGCTTAGTTTAAGCATTTATTTCATCATCTTTTTTCCCCAGGTCTGGTATAAGCTGGTGGTTAAGGCACTCGACTCCCAATCTGCAGAGCATGGATTCTAATCCCATCACAGAACATGCTACCGGTTCAGTCAAGAAAGAGTTATAATGTGACGGTCAATTCCACTATTCGATTAGAATAACCCAAGAATAGGCGGTTGGTGGTCTACCTCTTCAAAATTAGGGAGGATTAGTGCAAATAGTTGTTTAGTTACTTTACACAAATACACTAGAACCAAGAAATGTACTTTCCAAATAATTAATAGAACTTCATTTGATATCGGTACCGATTTCATAAATTTTATTATTTAAAGTAGGTGAAAGTATCCCAAACATTTAAGTAAAATATTTTCCATAATCGTTGTAAGATGAGAAATCACACACTTTCTCTTATATACGAACAAGAATATAGATAATAAGTTGCTCCATACATCATTCATATATCCCCAAAACATGTTTTAAAGACATTTTCTTTAAATGTGAAACTCATTCTCATAATCCTTTCTATTAAATTTAATATTTTAAGTTATTTCAAGTCTGTTTTAATAGTATTAGACATCTTATCACCTAGTTGAACTTAAAATATTGTTATCATTGTAATTCTCCCTTTCTTTCGAACCGCCCACTAGTGGCAAAGTGGTATGTTTGCGGACTTACAACCCTAGAATCTGGGTTTCGATACCCATGGTAGGGAGAGCATAGATAGCCCATTGTAGAGTTTTGTGCTTAATTACAAAGCTACACAATGGGCTGTCTCTGCTCTACCCACCACGGGTATCGAAAACTTAATTAATGAAAAATTAATTCATTTAATATTCAAATATTTTGTTACTGGAAAAATGTTATTGTCTCTTAATTTCGGGCAAAGCTATTCGAGGACTATTTCGGGCAAAGCTATTCGAGGACTATTTGCGATAGCTGTCCCTATTTTGTGTGTGTGTGTGTGATAGAGTAGATCGAAAACAGCTAATTAACACTACCCACCGCCAGCTCGAATGGTGGTATTTGACCGTCACTCTTATAACACATAAACGGCCCCAAATTGCGGAGGGCGATTTTTCTATTTTTTGTGGCGGTAACAAGTGCGAAACCATGAAAACTCCGATCTATAGTCGAACATGATAACCAATAGGTCACTACTGCAAATTATTCTAACGTTACATCTAACAGAAAGTTAACAAGTTTATGTCAAACACGACTAAATCTATACACATAGATCGCAAAGAGGTATCAACAGTGTAAATATTATAGTTATTGCTAAGCAAATGTCGATAAAGTGAATACCAATTAGCTATCTGCTTACCGACAATAAAAAAATCTATCACATTAAACATGGTTAAATGTGCAAATTAGCCAATTAAAAGTTTTTGTTGTTGTTGTATGGTTAAATGTTTTGATCGTCTCTATTAAAAGATTAACACAAATCTCTCTTAATTAAAAGCAATAATATTTTGAATGTCTAGGTTTGGTTTTGATTTTGAAGGATCAATTTCTCTTAACTAAAAGCAATAATATTTTGACTGTCTAGGTTTGGTTTTGATTTTGAAGGATCAATTTCAGTTCATAAAAGTATTAAACCGTTACAGCTGTTTCATTCAATCCGTCTTTATTGAAGGTATCTTAGCAAACATTGTTTCTGAAGTTCTAGTTGTCTTACTTAAACATTAATGTAAGTATTAATCATTTTCGGAAAAGCAATCTTATAAAATTTAGTAATTCGGAAATAATAAAATGGCGCGCATACCTGATTGATCCAGTGACGTTGAAACCGTATTAACAATAACCGTAACCTCCTGCAAGTATGAGCCAACAAAGCAATCAGTCGTGCGATAACACAACTGATAAAGTGTTTCCATAGCAATTTACGATCAACTATCAATTCACGATAGTTACTAAGCAAAGGTTACTTATTATTATAACAGATACGGATAGAAATAAACTCATGTGATGTATATGTCTCTTATGCGTTTCAGTTATTATTTCACAGTCTAAAGATTCGTTAATACTGTTATGACAGCGGAAGTCATGTGACGCTAGTAACACGTCATGAGCTTCTAGAAAATCTAGAATAATCGTTCTGAGAAAGTTGTGATTATTGTTGATTTCGTAGAGTTCACGTACATAGACTTATATCTACGATTAAGTGTGGAAAATTGTTTTATATGTGCTGTTTTAACTACGTACTTACATATTGTATTGGTAAATCAAGTACGTGTGTATGCCAATTTCTTAATTCACGAGTTTCACTTGTAAGTATAGCATTTAAGAAATTTTGTTGCTTTAAGTTTAATTAAGACGATTTATAGTAGTATACAAAATACTTTTAGGATTTTGATTTTTATTACTACTACTAGGCATAGTTTGATACATCTCTTGAACTTGAACAGTAAATGAGTGATAGAAGCAGATCTAGACTAGGGCGTAAATATGTTTTGGGGTTATACTTATAAACTGTACATTACATATTGACAACGGGTATAAGTTATTTTTTAAGACTCGTAACGTAGGTAAATTAATATTTTTTAACGGGGAGAAAAGTCCTTGTGTAATTTTACCTATAAAACGTGAGTTGTTACGTTACATGCATGAAAAATCGGTGTGTCGCGAAATCTCATCCCGCCGTATCGTATCTTTCAGTAAATGTCTGTTTGTGCTAACTTTATTTATTTCACTTTTTATTGTTAACAAATATATTTCGTAAGTACTATTTTATGTAATATAGACGGCCTATTTCTTTGTTTTATTTATTACATTTGTTAATTGTAAGCCTATCTGAACAAACGATTACTACGTTTGAAATAGTAATACTGTAGGCTGTAGGGCTAACGCAGTAACACTAACAGCATACGAGGAACATTTTAATTAATTAAAAACTTTTACAAATTCTGTAATTTATTAAAATTGAAATGAAAGTATCAACTCCTTATTTAATTTTATATTACAGAATGTTTAGAAGGAAGTTCTTATAAAAAATATCGCATTAACTGACTAAGACTTGTAAGTCGTTAAGTCAGCATAACTGTAACTTACACGAGACATTTGCTCATTTAGTTGTTCATGTTACTACAGTACAGTGTAGTTTAGTACTACTAGGCCCATTTATTTGTATTGTTACTATTTTAAAAAGGTAATTTGTAGTCTAGATATATATACATTAAATTATCTTTTCTCATATGTTATTACTTTTATCTGTACATGAACCATTCTATTACTAAGACTGGTGTAAAGTTATTCACACTATTTTAACATGTTACCATTCTTGTGTTTACTTAAGAATGTTGATTCTTTATACATTTCATAATTTAACTACTCTTAGCAAAAAATATAATTGTTATTACTCGAAAGTTGTATTTTAAGTACAGTAAACTGTTAATTGATAATTGTGCATTGCTTTATTATATATATAATATACTTGTGTATCTGCAGATGATCTGTCTTAATTTTTTTTATTATAAATTTGACTGAGCTGCTTATAATAAAATGAAAAGACTGAATGGGGGACATGCGCAGCAAACTGCATACCACAAAGTATTCAGGTTGTCATGAATGTGCTGACATGATATTGTTTTAAGCTGTATATTTTTAATGTAATTTGTTTGTTTGCTAGTTAGCTCTGGATTTTCATGATAACACTAAGATTGGAAGGTTTAATAAAGTTAAAAATTCTAGAAAAATCTTCACTTAAAACTGTGACTTGAGGTTTTTACCATATTTAGAAGTACATTTTATATATGAAATTGTTATTAAGAAAATTAATTTTCAAGATGGCTGATGCTAAGGGGCACGGCTTCCGTGTTTCTAAATAAGATGAAACTATAGGCGTGGCTGTCGTGTCTTCAACCCTTTATTGGCTGCTATGTGACCTACTAATGAAAAACCTATAAAAATTGGAATGTTAGTTCATTTTTCTCACTTTTTTGAAGAACCAATCTAACTTTTGTATTAGATATATAGTTTCTCTGTTTTTTTTTATATGTTCCCAAAATGGGAATGTTGGCATCTTCCCTAAGGTATTTTATATGTAATAACAAATATTCAACATTCTTGATTGTATTTTTTACTTACTGAATAAAATATGACTAAAATACCTAGAAACTACAAAATGAATCTTTTATTTATTGAACTAAAACACAATTTTGTAGCTATTATAGTTACGTAAATACATTTTCGATTTTTACAAGTAAAACGTAGAACAATTACTGTTCAGTTATTCAACTAAATAGTATAAATGTTAATGAAAATACTCTAAACTCTAAGATATTTTTTCCTTTTATTCATTGAACAGAAAGAAAATCTTTCATTATACTGGTGTAAATCTAAATGGTGTATTTAAGCGATACCTCACTACTATAAAGGCTTGGTTTGGTCTGATATTTCATTGGTAGTGTCCAGGGACACTGATGAGAAGTGGAATTCTCCGAAACTAGTCTGGCTCACACACACACCCCTAATGAAAGAATAGACCATTCCAAGCTTTTACTTGTTGTTAAACAAATGTTTAAACAACTCTATTCAATGATGTAAATCTGTTTTCTGCCTTTACAAGTTAGCAGATCATATAATTTGCATTTTATTTTCTGTGGAACACATCACTGCATGCCTTGTGTAGTCTTTTCTCACACTTAGTGCACCTCAGTCTGGTATTTTTAATGCACACACACAAAATCTGCCCTGTGAGCAAAATCACTCTTAAGAAAATCAAACTAACGCTAGGAGGCACCCAGATACAAATTAGCAATAACATCAAATTCTCAGGAATCACTTTTGACACCAGACTTACATGGAACAAACACGTACAAAATATTCACTCGTCAATCAACAAACGAATTAGTTATATAAGTTCATTAACAGCGAAACACTCAAACTGTTCACCATCAACAGCCTTAAGAATCTATAAAACATTCATCCGCCCACTTATAGAATATGGTTGCCAAATAACCTACAATATGTCTAAGAATAACCTCAAAAAACTCAAAATTCAGCAAAACAGAGCAATCAGATTATCACTAAGATTACCCACGTTCACCTCCGAAAAAATCATCCATAAACTAAGTAACCTCCCCACACTCAGAGAAAGACTAACAAAATTATCCGATAAATACCACACCAAGGCAAGCACAAGAAACAGTTTAACAGCATCATTACATAAAATATCAAGCGCGCCCACGAAACACATTTCCCCATACAATTTACACTGCCTAAATAACCCAACACAGTAAACGACTTACACGAAAAGGTCACCACTTACATCATGTCATAATCCTTTTTCTCTTTTCAGCCTGGGCACAGGTTAGATGGAATAAACCTGTGAAAGTGGGTTTTCTCCGGGTACTCCGGTTTCCCCCACATCTAAAGTATCTCTGGCATAGTCCAGAGAGCCCAACCCTGAAAAGGGTCCGTTTAATGCTAATTCATTTTAATTCTAATCCTTCTAATTCATTCTAATTCAATCTCATTTCTTTAAACAAATTCCTCAGACAAAATTATAATATAACTTCAAACCTACACTTTTGACAAAAATTCTACGCATAAGTCTAAGTTCGGAAAATTTAAAACATAATCATGTATTTTAAAAGACAATAAGGAAACTCGTTGCTTGGTGAGAGTCTTGGTCCTTCTCTCTGCCCCGTCAGCCGTCCTCGAACTTCACGAGGCTGCTTCGATCCTTTCCGACCGCCTGCACGGCTTCCCGACTCCACTCTCTAGAACCACAAACGACTCAACACGTCAAATAAATTAAGAACCACGAAGCTCAACCGAATACGCGCGGGGTTGAAGGGGAACAAATGTTCCCGAGCACCTTCGTTCTCTCTTTCTTCAAACTAAATCCCTGCCACGCTTAGTTTTTTTGTTTTGTTTTTTTTGTCCTGAGAGCAAGATTCAAGAAAGTGATTTATTTTGTCATACCTAACAGCCTTGGAAGGTGGTGCAGATGGACCTCCCTGTCTATGCCTTTCTTGTTGAACCTTTACCATAGCTCAAGCTACTCCTCTCCTAAACTGTACCCCTCGGGGTGGATTCCTGTACGTGGTGAGGGGACCTCCCAGGGAAGGTTCTGTATTCTTAGTTACCTCCTCTAGGATATAAACATCCAGCCACGTGTTTGCCGTGTGTGGCGACCCCTGAAGGGGAGGAGAGGGTCCTGGTGGTTGAGTGGTGTCTGGGGCA